CTCCATTCTACACCACATTTTTTCGTAATTTCGATGTAATGAAAATTATCATTAAAAAAAAAACAATTTTGTTAATTTAATTTTTTAATTGATTTTAAATAATAATTAAAAATCATAGATTTTATTTTTGTACTTCAATTTTTATAATTGCATGTAAAGAAAAAAGAAGGCGATTTTTATTAAAGAATTAAAACATATATGTTTCCATTCATTATTTTTATAGAGAAAATACCTATTTTAATACAATAAAAATAATAAAAAATAATAAAAAAATTATTTAAATAATTTAATTAAACATAAATATATGTTTTCATTTATTCTTTTTATAGAGAAAATAACTATTTTAATACGAGTAATACAAAAACTATTTAAATAATTTATAAAAAAACAAAAGATGATTTTTATTCTTCGATTTTTAACTGTACGTAAAGCAAAAAGCGAGGATTTTTTCTAAAAATTTTTACTAAAGAATTGAAACATCGTGAAACACGAATATATGTTTTCATTTGTTATTCTTATATATATGAATATATGTTTTTAATTGTTATTCTTATAAAGAAAATAACTATTTTAGTGTAGTACGAATAATATAAGAACTGGTTGAATATCGTTTGTAAAAAACAGAAAATATATTTTTATCACTGTACTTTTCAAATATTTTTTATCATAACATATAATATTTTGCTATTGCATTAAATTCAAGAAGTTTCCTCAAAAGCAGGATATCTCACACTGATCATATTCTTGTTCATTAAGTATCACATCAATTACGACGTTTAAATCTACGACGTGTCGACTAAACGTCATTACACCCATCCTCAGCTCCCTCGTTCGCCAAAGTATATAATTATGCTTTAATTATCCTCCGTTCCGAGGTGATTCCGCGGTTACGTGAGAACGAACGTTCGTATGCAAGCTAAACATGGTGACTACAAGACTCTTACACAAACTGGGTGGTGTGTACGTAGTACACGTCCACGCGGCTCTTCGATCGAGCCCTCCTAATAGAGATTCCGTGAAGCTTGTCGTTTCCTACCGGAAGAAACTTCGATTCCGTGATAACTTAGGGTATGCAATTACCATCCATCTAGCAGATGGCATGGGTAACCGGGGTGGTCCCAACCTAAGGGCCAAGAAAGGGTGAGAATGTATTGAGGCAAACGGATTGTGAGCTTATAAATTGACAGTAGGCAGTCAGTTGAAAATCTTGTCTTTGATTACACAAATGCTAATAATCGATTTATTCTTATTTTATAGTAATTGCTTCTTGCACAGAAAAAAATCATTTTACTGAAAGATCTAAAATTTTACTGGATACAAATATGAAAATCATTATAGAACTATCAGAATGATTTTGTTGGAAACTCAAATTAACAGCTAAAATACAGAAATTTCTTATTATTTTTTAGTTTCAACAAAATTATCTTCACTATCCAAAAATTCAGGTCTATATAGTCAGCAAAATTTTAAATCTTTCAGCAAAATTATACATTCCATATTTTATTACCTCAGCTATTATGTTGACTCTCCATCGATTAGCGATTGTGTGTGTACACCATAGGATAAAATATATTAATTAATACATTCATTTTTATATAAATGGACAATCAAGTAAAAATTTTAATATATAAAAAACGTAAGAAATATAGAAGGAAAAGAAATATATAAATTGAGTCGAGAAGCAAGAAAATAGGAAATGTATGAAAGAAATATTATGCCATTTAAAAAGCAAATGGACACATTCTTAAAATGAAATTTTCAACATTTTCCTTTGGATTTATCTGATTTTTTCTCAATATATATTTATTGTTGCAATTTACTATTATTGCTCAAAATGATAAGAAATGAATCGACCGCAAATCAGCCATTCAATACACAAGCCATATCGCACGTTTGGACTATCGTGCATTCGCGTCGCGAATACTACGAAGGGCTGATCGATTTGTCACGTATATTCCGAGCGTACACGAAGGGATGAGAAATCCATGGCCTTTGGTGGACCTTCAAGGTGATTCCTTTTTGCGTCTGGCGATCGCTTTTCTCTTTCTCTTCTTTCTTTCGTTCCCTCCGGTCCTTTCCTTTCTTTCTTCCTCCGCCCATATTTGATGACGGATCGTTCAGCTGAAACGAGTTTTGCTGACTAACAGCTCGCTGTTTCTTTCGTCCGGTGCGTCTTTTTTCTTCTCTCTCTCTCTGCTGACGGCTTCGATCCGTCGTTGTGCAGCAGCAGCAACCATCAATGTCGGCGATGGAATTCCGATTCGGAAGATTAGAGGAAACGATCGCGAGGCAGCACGGCAGTCCAGAACGTCTGTGAAGAACTTGAGCGGAGAAATCTCGCGAGAGTTACGAGTCTCACGGCCGAGTTAGGGGTCGAGGGGCATCTTTTTCCAACAGGAAGAAATCCGTGGACGGAGGGAGAAAAGTGCAGCAGGAGAAAGGGCGAGAAGTTTTCCCGCACGGACTTATCTCCGCGTGTAGGCGAGTAAATAAATAAACTACGAAGAGACTTGAAAAGTATCGAGATTTCTTCGTTGTTCGATCTCTCTCTTGCATCTCGCAACCTCCCCGCAACATCTCCCGTACCCGTCCATCCAACCTCTTCTTCCCACAGTCCCGCTTTTATTTGTAATTTTATTTATCGTTTTCCTTTAACATTAACCGCAAACTCGATACGTACTTTATTGCTTCGCTTCTTACCGATGCTTTTATGAGTTCCGCTTACACGATTTACCTTCGCGGGGTAAATGCGAGAAACTGTTCCGTCTTCTGTATTGTCTCCTCTGTGGCTGCATTTCCCGCCGGGTTTATCCCGCCGGCGCTTCTCTTCTATTTTTCGTTCGATCTCCTCGCGTATCTTCCTCTCTATGGCACTGCTACCGCTCGCGGTCTTAATAATTCCGGATGGAAATGGAATTTGCACGCGCCCGTCGATGCAACAGTGATGGTATAGTTTTTCGCTTTCGGCGCACGTGTAAAATCTACTATCCGCTGGGAGGTCTAGTCCTTCATTACGTCCTACCATTTGCTTTGTAATGAATGAACAGCGGTTACGTTGCACACCGCGCTCTCTGCATGTTGTGCATACATATAGAGAATTCACGCCCGCTGGCCTGGAACCTGGGTTGGTATACATTAGTGATTATGTCGCGATATTTCGGTTTTATTGTATACCGTATACCCCGGGCGAATTATTTAGCAAGTCCTATACCACCGAACCGATCATTTATCGTTGTTATGCCGCAGCAAGAGCATGCTATTGCGAGGGATCGTGCTACAGGCCGGTCATTCGAAAACCGATCAAATTAGCTCTCGAAGTCCTCTTTACGTAGGCATAGCCGTAACTTGATTAATGGAATAAATCAATTAAATTATTCAATACAGGACTAACATAATCATGGCCCGTGCAAATTGCGGAGAATAAGCAAACTCGAAAGAGATTCTAAAACTCGATTATACAACATATATAGTTTTCTTTTTTTCTTGTTAATATTATTTTCTAATGATTGATTTTAACATCGTAAAGATGAATGTTAAAAAAATTTTAAGAAATCTTTTTTTTGGGGATTTTCTTAAAAAATAAATTTTTTGCTTTTGTTTCATTGATATATTAGATAGGATAAATATTTTTTTTTGTTTCTTTTTTTTCACCTCAATACAAATTTCTTATAAAAAGATACTTTTACCATAAAAAAAAATTGTTTTCTCAACTGGCTTTTAGCGATCCTGAACTTAATGTTTGAAAAAGGATATTAAAGATTTTTTAACAAAGTTCGCTGAACGAGATTTTGTTAGGTACGTAAAATCGGATGTTGTAATTGGAGAGAATAATGAGGGAGGATGTGCCGGAACAAAAGGAAGCTAATAGGTATGCCGACAAGAGGAATGCAGAAATTATGTAATGAAGGTAAAGTAGCGTCTTGTTTCAATAAGATGCGCATTATATCTCTTGCAAATATAAAATAAGAGTGTATCGATCGATAATTCGCAAAACACATCTCGGCGGTGCGTATCTGTTTAACTCGACTGTGCTTTGTGAACAAAAGCCGATAAAAGCTTTGACTTTTTACGGCGAAAAATTCTCCATATTTTCATAATTGAGTACTTTATCGAGAAAGAAAACAAATGTAAATTACAAGAAATAATAGTTGTTTAAGATTTCTTTAAAAGCATGAATATACTTTTTTTTTAAGATTAGGTAAATAAGGTCATAAATTATGAAGATAATGTATTTTCATTATTAGTAGTTACTTGCATTAGATTTTTTGTTTAACTGATTAATATTAAGTAATATTTATTTTTTCATATCCAATATTGTGTCAAATATTAAATAAATTATTATTTATCATACGTATGAAAAGATAAATTTAAAGCTGAAATTGTAAATTATCTTAAATATAACGTGAAATTATAATGTTGTAATATTTAGCTTAATGTATTGTGTACAAAAAAAGTTCCAAATGCTAAAAGTTATAGAAGCAAATTACAATGTTAATACAGAAAGCTAGAAATTTCTAAATAACAGTTTTAAGACATTTATGTCAATATATCTTGCAAAGATTATCGGATATTTTTGGAAACACGGAAATTGAACTTAAGAGGAAGATACAATGAAAATAAAGACAGTTAAGATTACCTTTACATTTAAACATTGATAGATTAAATCCTTAAACTACTATTTAAGTCAATGTATTTTCAATTACAAAATTAGTCGTGCGTTAATAATTTCTGAAGTAATTTGCATATGATGGACTTCGTGGATACGTTATATCTATCTACCAATATATTTGTCAATATTATGAAATACTATTTCGGGATTCGAAACCATTTCCTTTTCAAAGTGCATGTATGTCGTTATTATCGAGAGGATAAAATCCTGATAATACATTTATAAGATAAAGCATTACAATAATCTAAGAAAATTGCATGCCGACATAGTGACTATTTCGCGCACGCAGAAAGCAGTTGACATTTGTGTAGCTTATGGCGAACATTCTCACCTGCATTCTAGAAGCGCACTCCTGCCCCTGAGGGTGTACGCCGGAACATTTATGTGAAGTAGCTTCAGAGCAGCGACTGAAACAGAAAAAGAGAGAGAAAGCTCGTGTGAGATCGCATAAATGTCAATTGCGAGTATATACGTCGTCGCCTGGGGGTGCTATCGATGCGATGTCACTGGAAATGCACGACAACGATTCCTCGAGTGTTCGATTATATTGTCGATAATAAAAGAACATAGAATACGCTTTTTCGGAGTAAAAGCATCAAGGAATGATTTTGAGTTATGGATATTGATACATGAGTATAGTTTAAAAAGACAAGAGAAAAGGTGAAATTTCATTTATTTATAAAATTTATATGAAAAAAAATGGAGGATTATTTATGTTCTATTACTATCATGAATTTTCCTTTTGTATGTAATTTACTTGTTTGATTTTGGTGATGTCAATATCAATCCATATCAAATTGAAACATTTATTTATTGAAATTGACAACATCATGATCTATTTTCTCGCTAAATTTATGATTAATTATGACAATATATTACACATCTCTTTCTTTTCCTCTTTCCTCCCTCCCTCTTTTTTTATGATAGAATTTTCTAAGTTTTTCTATAGTTTTAAGTTTCTAAGAGAATAGATGAAAGAGCTATTGCAAAGGTTTGCTTGTTAGATCATGTTAGATCGGAAACTCCTGAACAAGTGCTACTTCAATATTACTCGCTACTGATGTGTAGCCCGACTTGAATAGAGAACATTTTCAAATGCGAGACTTCTTTCACGCTTAAATCGGTAAATCTCTTGACCTACTGCTAAGCGTACAAAGAAGTATTAAAAAAACGATACCATAGTTACTCGACCTACCGCGGATCTTTTTACAGAAAAGTATCGCGTCGACCTTCGGCTCAAGCTTTCAGGAGTGACGAGGGTTGGCAAAGCTTGGAAAATTGTGCTGCGATTGGATGATCCTAAGAATTGGAAGTAGATCGTGCTAGATGCTCAAATAATGGAAGATATATTTTGTTACGATGTCTGCTAGTTTACCCTCCTTTTCTACTTTCCTTCATCTCGTCTCCTCTTGACATATTCGAGCCAAAAACCGACGACTTTTATAAACTGTGCATTTCGAGAATTTAATAAAATCGATAATTTAATATAATCTTGTACGATTTAAAAAATGCTTTTATGACATCAAATAATATATGTATCGTTTTATTAAATTATTCCATGAAGAGTTGATAAGTATTGATATAAATATCAATATTTTTGAATCATTTAATTACAATATATCGTTTCATTTAAATGAAAAGATTGTTATAAAATATTACATTTACATATATAAGTTTTATCGTTTTTTATACAAATCAGTTTTTCGTTAGATACATAATGTTAACTGGTATTTAAAATTGTTCTTTAAATATTAAAAAAAAAAACAAAATCGATATTTTTATATACTTAAATTGAGTTTCCGATTTTAATAATTCGACGCGTTTTCAATCCGTTACAGATAAACTGAGAAGAAATTGCGGAGCTACCTTAGAGGGTCTAAGCTCAACTCTTATATTTTTTAAGCGTAGCAGACTATATGTGTATGTAGAGTACATAAGTATGCACATGTAACGACTAGTAGAGGTCGGTATCTAACTTTGTCGTCATTGCCGTTGTCGTCGTCGTTGTTGTCGCCGCTGATAGAAGAATGGGAATGGATGTGAAGAGCAAAAAGGTTAAGAGCAAGAATTCCTAGGCAGAGACGAGCTGAAATTTTCAGTACCAGATTAAATGTGGAGGCTAGAACATTCTAGATGCTGCGCCAGTCTTGTCTCGTTCTGCGTTCGTGAACTCGTAAATGTTACTCGTAGACAGTTTGTAAGATGAAGATTTCTTATAGGTACATATTAATTCATAGAATAAAACCGGGACTATATTCTGTGCAGAAATGAGAGAGGTTATTCCGTACTTAAATCAATAGCGAAATATTGATGCGTCTAAACTTAGATAGAATGTGGCTTGATGACAGCAAATGCTATTTTGTGATTACTTCGCCAAATCAAAAGCAAAAAGCATATTGAGTTATAAATTGACGACTAAAATTGCTAAATGAACTTTTAAAATTTATTTATAGAATTAAATTTTGAAATTATTATAACTTATTTCGAAAAATGATGGGTATATTAATAGTTTATTATGAAATATTAAAGTTATATGAATAGAACATCAATGTTGAGAAACCAATTCACTTTGCACGTATCGAATGTCCACACACATTTATAAATATATCACTTAACTTCTTTAACTTCCCGACACGACGAAGTATATTTCTCAACTCGCGACCCAGCCGTAATGTCTACCTTCTTACCCTTTCACTAGCCTGTCGATCCTTTACAGCTTTCAATATCTTTACCCGACATGGTAAGTACCAAAATTCGAACGTCACTTCGAAGTTTTCACCCGTCCTAGGACACGTCTAAACAGTTTAGTCAGCGACGCGCGTACGAGAAGCGTCGGGCAAACCGAAACTTTCTACGGAAACCTCGCGAGCTTTCGTAATTGGAGAAGGGGGAAGAGACGAAGAAGGACTTGGGTCTGCTTCCTGATTCTGCATATACCTCGCAAAGTAAACTGGTAAACTGGTAATGTTCATCTGGTGGAAATTGTTATGCCCTGTCAGAAACAAGCTACGAGTGACGTAGGTCCGAGGCGAATCCGAGTTTCGAGATCATCCTAAGAGGATTAGATAAGGGAAAGCTGCCCACAACACACCAGTGTAACACATTGTGTGTGGTTTTTAGAGCATTACAAGCGAAAATCGATGTCGTCTTCTTCCCTTCCACCGTATTTTCTGAAGCTGTAATATTTATGATCTTAGCTCGTATACCATTCTACAAATAAATTACGCGTCGTGATTTAAATCACGCTAACATCCTGCCTGAATATTAATTCTCCTTTCAAAGTGACAATTATTCATATTTCTTTTTTTCTAAACATATTTTTTTTTTTACTTAACACTTTCCGGAGATATCGATTAGCGTCAAATTTGTGCAGAGCAAAAAACGTGCACGTAGGACGTTGTCCTTCCATGTGATTGTCATTGAAATCGTTAAAATACAATGGGTTGACGCAGTTGGGACCGAACAAACGGGAAATAACGAATGCGTTTTGCGTTAACGATGTGACGCTACGCTATTATCCTCAACTCGAGAAGAAAAGTGACTCGATTGTCGATGCATCGGACGAGTGTAAAACTCGTCCGATTAATCGTGAGAAACGCGACGATGCGTTGAACGATATTTGTCGATCGTTGCTAGGTTCTCATTTCACTACGTCTATCGCCTAACAATAACTTCCTCGCTTTCCGTATGTATTCCAGCTTCGACCGTTGAATTACACGATCGGCTTCAAGAGAGATAAGCGACCTTTCTCTCGACGAGTCACCTTTGGTCGTGACGCCGGTCAGGAGAGCGCGATTATATTCCATCGAGAGAATCGTGCTTCGATTTCGCCCGAGAATTAATTGCACCGGGATTTGGCTTTGCATAGCTGTCGGAGCCGTCGCCTCTTCACGAAACTCACTAAGTTCGAAGCAACGATCACGAATATTGTAGGCCCTTCGCTTACGATAACCTAACGGTTGTACTAAAATTTGCATCGAGAATTTTGAACAATCGACACAGGTCTACTTGTGATAATAATGCATTACAACGTTTGATATCTCGTAATAATAAAAATTATTACAAGTTATCGAACGTTGTAATGCATTATATCAAAATTGGGTAGGCTATTTTTTTGTAAATCTTTCTTCTTACATAAGAAATAAATGTTTAGTTTTTTTCTATAAAAAAATTTTTCAGGACATGACAATTTTTCAGTTATAAAAAAATAATGAAAGATAATAATATAGAAAGCAATTATAGATTGATGAAAAAAAATTTTGCAAAAAATTGAAAACTGATGATAATTTGCTATAAAAAATAATATCATGTTCTATGTTGCATTTGTTCTTTGACGGATATTATTTACTTTCAGCTTTTTAGGTTCCTTATGAATCATCTTCATTAAGAATTTCTTTACATGATGTATATAATCTCACACGGATTAGAGACTTTATGCGAACAATGCCACTTTATCAGTCAGTGTAACCCCAAAACTACCTTGTTCTTGCTCTAAATGACATTAAGAGACACCCTTCTCGTGCGGGCTATGTATTACCGTGTTAGCGCGGGTTATGTTGTTCTTGTACCAGACAATGCTGAGAGCGCTATTTCTGAGGATATGACAAGCTAATTTCACTGTAACTTCCGTTGATATCCTTTCCACAGACTATTTCTGAGTTGGTAAAAGCGAAATATAAGAGCACAGAAACATGAACAAATTCGTTCCAATTTTTTGTTGTTTCACGAATCATTTTCAAAAATAAAAATTTTAATCTATTCATCAAACGTCCAATAATATTACTTCCACTTTCGCGAAATTTTGCAATCCGCTTTGCAAATTGTGCGGACTTTGTCGTTTATCGATCGGGATCCATTATTAAACTTTGCATATAGTTTGATAAGTCCGCGCAATCACGAGACTCGAAGTCTCATCTCCTTATCATATTTCACGTAGGAAAGTGGGATAGTAAAATTTTTAACAAGGTCTCGATGAATATGCGTGTTATAACATACTAAGACCCAGAAATTAAATTACACCGTAAAGTGCGATAGTTCACTGCATAATGGACATATGCGCGAGGAGGACATGCATAGAAGGACGATATGAGAGAGAGAGAGAGAGAGAGAGAGAGAGAAAATAGGAATGCCCCCGTTATGCACCGAGACTTTATTTTAATACTGACTTATCTAAGAGCGGCGTAATAACGCACCTAAAAAAGCGCTATCGTTAAAACTTCTTGCGAGTCGAGGCAGCACACTGAGGTATCTTTAATTTATGCAGTGTCCGCGTTTCGGGCGTTACGAGAATGAGAGAGAGAGAGAGAGAGAGAGTGAGAGAAAGGGAGAAAGAGAGACAGAGTAGCCCTCCGCGTTACGGTGGCTTTCCCGGAACGAAGTTGAAATTCATTATAAGCAGACATTAATT